TTTTTTTTTTTTTTTTTTTTTTTTTTTTTTTTTTTTTTTTTTTTTTTGGTAAAGGCAAAGTAAATTTTTAGTTTTATGGCGGACAATAAAATCATTGTATTAAAAAACTAGGTTACGATTTTTTGTTGTTGAGATATTAGGATTTTAAAACGATGTCAACGTCAAATTGTGTACAAAGTAATCAGATAAAGAAATACAGTAATAATTATACGTTCAAATAATACTTTATCCAGCCTGTGTTGGATACTGCATGACATTCTGATTTTTATGTATACAAACAATGAAATAATGCATTGATATATTCTTACTTCTTTCAGGATCATTCACGAGACCAAGGTATAAGTAATGCAGAAATCGCAGATGTTGAAGCCAAAGAACTTATTGATAACCTCATCAAATCCAAAAAGGAATATAGCTCCGACGATGATGAATTATTCCAATTCAATGAAGAAGACAAACGGGGCTTATTCCCAACTGGAGGAATGGATCCCTTGGGGGCGTCGTATTTTACGGGGAAGCGAGGAGTAGATGAAAACGAAGAAGAGCCAGACAAACGAGGTTTTCCAAATGGTCGCCTGGACACGCTAGGCAGTAGATATTTTAACGGAAAGCGAGCTTTCCCTAATACTGGCGGTCTAGACACATTAGGAAATAGATATTTTAATGGGAAACGTGGACTATATCCAAGCAGTGGTAATATGGATACCCTAGGAAGTGGATATTTCACCGGAAAGAGAGGTTTCCCGAGCAGTGGTGGAATTGACACACTGGGAAGCAGATATTTCAATGGAAAAAGAATGTTTCCGAGTAGTGGTGGAATGGATACGCTAGGAAATGGTTATTTCACCGGAAAGAGAGGTTTCCCAAGCAGTGGGGGAATTGACACACTGGGAAGTGGATATTTCAGTGGCAAAAGAATGTTCCCGAGTAGTGGTGGAATGGATACTCTAGGAAATGGTTATTTCACCGGAAAGAGAGGTTTCCCGAGCAGTGGGGGAATTGACACACTGGGAAGTGGATATTTCAGTGGAAAAAGAATGTTCCCGAGTAGTGGTGGAATGGATACGCTAGGAAATGGATATTTCACCGGCAAGAGAGCTTTCCCGAGCTCCGGCAATCTGGATACGCTTGGAAACCGATACTTCAATGGAAAACGAGGATTTCCAAGTAGCGGACGAATAGACACACTTGGAAGTAGTTATTTTACTGGAAAACGATCCATATTTGATCAATATAATACCGACAGCCTTCATGGTTTTAAGAAAGGATCGTCGTTTTTGCACGGGGGTCTTTCGTCTGGCATGGATAATCATATTCCAGGCTTTAAAAAACGGGCACTCCCTTCCGAAGACATGAAATCCGAATAGATTGGCTGAACATAAATAAAAGAACCTTGAACATAATCATCAACTGGTGTATGAATCATTTCAACTTACTACCACTCACATTAAAAGGAGAATGAACATTTATTCAAAAAAAATAGACGCTATTATACTTATATTTTCAAATGAACCTTTCTTCTAATATGTTGACGTCTCGATAAAATAAATAGTTTAATATTAAAAGATGGCAAAATATAAAAGGGGGTGGGTTTGATTAATTTTATTTTGTAAAATATCTTATGTTGGTATGGTGAACAAATTTTTAACCAGTGGTAGACTGTTTAATTTGTTGGGTGATTGATAGATAGATTGATTGATTAATTGATTGATGAAAGGATTGATTTGATTGATTTAATTGTTTCTTGATTGATTGTTTGGTCGGTTGATTGAATTATTGATTGTTTGATCGATCGAATGATTGAACGGATCAAATATTCATTGATTTATTTATTTATTCATTCATTCAGTCAATGATTAATTTAAATTGATTGACATATAAATGACTGAATAACTGATTAATTGATTGACGACACACTTAGTAACATCTATAATAAATATGTAAAATATATTTGCCTTAATCCCAATAGAGTTAATTAACAATAATCAAAACAACGCTATACAAGACATTATATAGATATAAATATATTTTCTCAATAAATGAATTGACTCTGATTTGTTGTCGTTGAAACGCTGGATCCTAGGTGTCATTTGTCCTAAGTAAAGTCATTCGAGGTAATTTTATTGTTATCTTCCTGTAAAATAAAATCAATAAATTTGTGTGATGTAAACATGATGTATTTTATTGTGTTTTGTTTTTATTTTATACAAATTCATACAAACCCATACAAACTTAAATGGTTCCTGGACTCTGATACTCTGTCTTATGTCTCCATGGCGCATAACCCTCTAATAAAGCCGGGCACTTATTCCCGGTTGTTGGCCGACGCGATCTCATGGAAAACGCAACGGCACGACGCGCGCGCAACGGGTTGTTTGAGGATCCGTTCGCAGACTGCCACCGACAATTAGCAGAACACGTCACGTCGTCTAGCGTTCACTGGGAACGGAGTTAGACTCATCGGCCGACGGTCGTACAGTGAGTGCCCGGCTTAAGTTGTCACAAGGATTTGACTCTGTAAAGAGTGGTTAACGTGCCTTCAACCGTACATTACTGTTGTTACTGATACATGTTACTGTATTTCTCGAGTTTGTAGCTTTATAATATTACATTTTCTTTGGGTAATTAGTAATCAGGCGATTGCCAAATTCACATTTAACGAAATACTATCTGAGAGTGGAGATGTTAGGAGTCTGTACATTTGTACATTTTCATAAAGAAATCCACAAACAAAAACCAAAAAAAAACTTCTACAGTAAATGCTTTCGCTACTCGTTTTAATTTAATTTAACGCTGCTAAACTTACTATTTTGATGTCTTTTACGTTTCTCTTGTCCTACCACCTACTGGTACAGCCCTGATAAAATGTTCGCTGTATTTTTTTCATTTTACATCAACTTTTTATATATCAGAATTAACACTAATAGAATCTAGTAGCCTACTAACTAATGTTATTAAAAACAATCCACATTCTTTACGAGATCAACGATAATACTGGTTAGTAGACATTAACTCACAAGATTATTGCGCTATACCGGTACTGTAGTCAATACATGATTCAGAAAGAAAAATTTAAACTGGGGTATGGAACATGAATTGCATGAATTGCAAAGCATCTTCGGTCGCTAACCCATTCTTCATATTGTTTTTAATAACATTTATCTTATCAGGAAACAGTGTTATCTTATCAATATACTGGAAAATAAGGACGATTAGCGATCAAACCGAAAATGTTTATTCAACATTTTTTCAGTCTCCAGGAAATGTTGTGTCACTGCCTATTATTTTCTGATGCACTACTTAATGTTCATACGTCAGCTTTATTCAGGCAGACACAAAGTACTGGCAAATTCCTTCATATGAGTTATAAGTATACTAGCAATATACCCGTGCTGTGTTGAATGAGTCGGGAAAGGTGGCGATCATGTAGGCCTACATTGTTGAATGGGGAAGTTGAGGAGGCAATCGTTGTGGATGTTATGGTTACCATGTCATTATTTTTCTGAAGGCGTCTTTGTAGTTAATTTTTTGAGTGTCTTTGCAGCACACTGTAGTCCTTGTGAGAAATTACTGTGTAGTGTGATCAAGGGTAGATCCAGAATGATTCAAACAGGAGGAGGGGGGGGGGCGCACATAATTAAAAAACATGGGATTAAGGCAAATATAAAAAATATAACACTTTCAGAATAATTGAATAAGCGGATAGCACATATATTGCATTAAAATTTAAAAAAATAAATAGTGGAAAAACGGGGCAGGAGCCCTTCCCAGTGACGTCTCTGCCCCCTACTGGATCTTTTCCTGTTGCTTTGGGCTACCCTCTTGTAAGTAAAAGTACAGAAATATACAGTAGGCCTAGCCTAGTAGGGCATAGAAAAGTGTTTGTCTTGAATCAAATGGGTGCATGTAATTGTAAGGCTTATCCGAACTACTGACATTCAAAAGAACCCGTGGAGCTGGCTTGACCCTATCATGAACCTATCTATCTTAATGCACTATCCAAATCGACCCGGATTCGAGAGATAGAGGATAGGCCCTAAGTATGCTAACTACACTTGAGCCTAGGCCCCTAGGTCTAGGCCTATCTGTGATCGACATCATAGGCTAGGGTAGACCGCGCCTAGGCTAGAGCACAGGCCTGGGCTAGGCCTAGAGCCTATGGCTGTGCCTATATTTATAAGCCTATGTAGGGCTAGCCGGTATGGTTATGCCGAGGTTATATCATGGCTTGTGCCCATGTGTATCTTTATTTTTACCTGATCAACTTCTAAAACATGTCATTTTGCTGATGTTTTGTCCCATAAAACTACAATATATCCAGTATAATGCAGTGGGTACTCCGAACAGGTACGGGAACATGCTTGTCACCCATTTTGAACGTGAGAAGTACTGACCGGTGATGTAATGAAGCTGCGAAATATAGACTGGTTCTTTTACGGCCTGACTCGATTATTTTTAGACCTAAGCATTGCAGTACAGAATAGATATGATTAATTGTATTACGTCACTTAAGCAACATGCGAAACAGGGCGAAACCAGGTACTGATTTTCGGTGGCTTTTGGCTGTTTTTTTTTTTTTCGTTGTTATCCAATAGGCCTTTTTCACGTTGCGGTAGACATCTTCAATCGATGACAAACAGTGCTGAGCAGCGAAGCGTAACCAATAGCAATAACATAGCGTTTCGACCATTTCGGAGGTCATGTTACTTACAAAATCATACATTTTTAACGGAGGGTCGTATCAACATAATTTTTTCTTTAAAATCTCACAAAGAATATATTTACATACTGTACGAATGAAAAAAATTGAAAATTTGTTTAGTCTGTCAAAACTAAACTGGAAAATGGAAGACCGATTTTGTGTAGTGTTAACACACACATTGCCATTATTTCACACTGTACGATTCGATCATTAGCGTGCCGGCCATATTTTCGGAGGTCATGTTACTTTAAGAATCATAACTCCTTAACGGAGGGTCGTATCGACATATTTTTTCTTTAAAATGTCCGCAAAGGATATATCTAAGTACTGTATGAGTAACAAAAAAACTAAAATCTGTTTAGTCTGTCAAAACTTAATTGAAATAATAGCAACACGCACTTTACAAAATCGGTCTTCTATTTTCCAGAATTTTCAGAGGAAATAGGGGACGTTACGAGGTTGCGATTAGCAGAATTAATACAAATGTTTTGTAAGCCAGGCACTCACTACGCCCGACCGTCATCGGCCAACATGATTTTGCAACGTGACGACGCGTGGAGTTGATTCGTCATGCGACGGTCGGACACGCATTGAGTGCCCGGCGTAAGTTATTCCTTGCTACGCGTGCGCGCTATCTATGACGTCAAATTTTAAATCGTTCAATTATGCTAAATATCCAACTGTAAACGCTATCGAATGCCTCAAAGGGGTTTTAATGTTCTTTGCTCGATGTCCCTATTTGCGTATTTTAATTGAAAATGTGTTTTCCCGTTCTCTGAGGACGACTTCAGATTTAATGATAAATATGGATTGAGTACAGGACGAAATTAAACAACGCCTATTGATAAAGACGTTGGTGATGTAAACCCGTCATTCTTATTTCACTGTATTTCTAACACTATTTCGAGCTATACAAAATAAACCAAATACACTCTTATGATAATGACAGGTTTTAAATTTTATATCGAGCATTCAATTTCTTCATTTGGAGATAATAAAATTATTCTGGTTCTGATTTGATTTAAAAAAAAAAAAAGAAGAAGCTTTAAAAGGTTAGCCAATCTCTAGTCAACAATTCTATTCATCTAGTGACTCGCTGTCACTTCAGTGTTGTCGTAATACAGTGTTATTTCATTTGCGGACCTTTCTGCTCTATCCTGTCCCTTTAATATTGTTCCTAAAATCCTACAAAATGTCGTGTCCTGTGGGACTTGTGGGATCCTATCCCTATTCTAATTTACACTTCGGAAAAGTCCATTCAAGATAACCTCCGAGAAAAGCAGAAACATACTTCCAAACATTGATAACAATAATAGGCCACAATGCACTATTATATTCTTGATTTTTAAAAATAAAATAAAAACTCGTAATAACAAAGTCATTTGAAGCTAATGATTAAAATCAAAACATCGTCAATATTCTATATTTAATCCAGTGGCATTTCAAAATCTATGAATTGCATTTGGTTTATATATAGATATGTTTACATTACTGTATTCATTTTCATCATCTGTTAACTACAACATTGCTGTTGCACAGTATTTGCCATTGAACCTAATATAGATTAGACCACAGGAGGACACCTTCGACACCACAAATGTGTCCCTTTAGTGGGATGGGTGTCAACACTCGTAATTTAGGTGATATAAAAAGTTGGTTTTTTTTCGGATTATTTTTTTGATCGCAGCCAAGCAACTTAAATATGATAATAAACGATTTATACTAAATGGTAACAATGGTTTTTAATGAAAAAAAAATCAATCAACATTGATGTAGGCCTAATTAAAATTAAAACGACAGAGCTTGGATTTTCATTATTCAAGTTATAACAATATTAATTCTAATGGATTGTGTGAACAGTTAAGTGGAAGCAGGCTGGTTGCCTCCCTCCCCCACCAGAAATTTTTCCCCTGACACTTTATTTAGTCAATTGCACAAGTAATGACAATATTTACATTGTTATTAAATTATTATTATTATTATTATTATTATTATTATTATTATTATTATTATTATTATTATTATTATTACTATTATCATTATTATTATTATTATTATTATTATTACTATTATTACTATTATTAATATTATCATTAAATTATGATATAACGCTATTGAAAACATAGAATATAATAATTATACAAAAAAAAACCAATATAAAATACACACATTAAGCTATTAATATTAAAATTTTGTTTTATAGGAACACATTTTATTTCATTTCATTTTATTTATTTATTCCACCATAAACAATAAAAAGCACAATAACAAAAAGAAACAACACAACGATGGTAAAGAACAGCTAAAACAAATAAATTACTATAACTCAAAAGAGTCAGCTGCCTCTTAAACATGAAGTCACATGTATATCATATAATAGAAAATAATGTAAAAATATATGAAAAGCCCTAAACAATTGAAAGAAACTGTTTTCACACTTGCAGATTTCTCTTCTTTAACTTTAAAAACTTCA